TATTGGCTGCCATGGTGCGGGTGGCCCCGCTAATGCAGCCGGCGGCGCCTTGACGGGTGGCCCCGCTAATGCAGCTGGCGCCGCTTTAATGGGTGGCCCTGCAGAACCTGCGGCTGACGAGGCAGCTCCTGCGGATGACTCCGCGCCAGGGTTCGGGTGACCTTTGTCAGCAGCTGCATCATCGGTTAGTTTCTGTTGGTCGCCAAACTCTTTGAGGGCTCTGAAGCGTTCTTCTCTTGAGAGAGTGCCTTCTGCGGGTGTCCCCGCTGTTACGGCTGGCGCCGCTTTAGCGGGTGGCCCCGCAGAGCCCTTGTCCTCCTTAGCCTTGGCGGCCGCTTCTGCCCGCACCGACCTCATCCCAGCTTCGGGCTTTGGTTGCGCTTTCATTCGTGCCGAACCTGGTCGTGGTGCAAGGCGCGGCTGATGCAGAGTTGGAGTCCAGTCACCTCGGAAAGCTGCCTTAGGCTTGTCGCGAGCTTCGTCCTTGACATCGCCTTGGGTCACCGGCGGCATCGGGGTCGATGGTCCAGCAAAAGCCTTCTTCCTCTCTGTCACGGACGGACCGGGAGGAGCTGCCGGCTTAGGATCGTCCGTCTTGGCAGTCCCTCTGGCCTTCGCCCGCTCATGTGTGCCTTCGGGGCTCTTGGACGGTTGCCTTTTCGCAGGAGTCGGTGAAGACGAGGAGTCGGCTTTAGGTCTTGGCGGTGGTCTGCTGCTCTTGCCTGGTCGTGGACCAGGAGGGTCTCTAGGAGGGCCTTCTGGCTGGCCATGATCATGGATGACCTGCCTCATCTGGTCGATGTCGGCAGTACCCTTTATGGCCAGCTTGTATTTGCCATTCTCATGGCGGTAGAGTACCCTCGTGCAGAACCACTTCTGCGCCGAAGAGCTGTAGTACCAGCAGGCGCTTCCGTCAGGGAATGGATTCTCTGAACCGTCTTCCGCCGCCCACTCTTCATTTAGCTCGGTGCGGTCAGTGCCGGCGGCGGACCCGGCAGCAGAGGCAACGTCTATCCACTCGTCCGCAGATCCAGCGGCTGGTGCTGCTTCTGCGGGTGACCCCGCTTCCTTGCTGGATTCTGCGGGTGACCCCGCTTCCTTACTGGATTCTGCGGGTGACCCCGCTTCCTTACTGGATTCTGCGGGTGACCCCGCTTCCTTACTGGATTCTGCGGGTGACCCCGCTTCCTTATGGAATCGGCGGTTCCATTCCTTGAGGCGGTGGTCATTGGGAAGCTTTGCCCAATTTTCCCTGACGGTGTTGGCCACCTCCTCGGTCATAGGGACGCGATCGGCCTCAGTGATGCGCTTGCCCCCTCCAGGAACCTCTTTGTTTGGATCATGGACGTTGCCAGCGTCGTCTCCGTGAGACCAATTCCACGGGGTCTCTCCGTGGTGAGGGCTCCTGGAGGGGCGGTCCATCGGACACCTGCGCATGTGGCCTTTAGAGGGCTCACACTGACATACTTGCTTTCTGTACGTTTTGCGGTCAGTGATGATCTCCTGCTTCTTCGCCCTTTTGTCCCAGGCCTCTGGCGTCTTGGTCTTGCCGCCCTTGGTACGGATTATCGCGCCAGTCTCGTCCCTTTTGGTACAGTATTCCTTAGAATACCAGTGCCGAAGAGTATCCATAGAGTAGCCGGGGTACCATCTGATGTACCAATCCGGCACCTGCTGAGCAGATACTCCAACGGAGTGCTCAGTGCTGTATGGATAGCCCGATTCATCATGCGTAGGGCGTCTAGGAGCTGAGCGGCTCCTTCCGCGGGCTGGCCCCGCTGACGCACTACCACGTGTCACTGGCCTTTGATCGTCATGCTCTGAGTCTCGGGGAGGCGACGGTCGCCTGTCCCTCTTGGCGTACCGCATGTCCTCCGAGTCCTCTGAGCTGTCCTGGACCATGAACACGTTTTGATACGGGCTTCTGAAGTATCCGATGTCATTTAACTGCTCCATCGAGAGGTCGTTAATGTTCATTTGATCGCAACCTTGCATGAATACATCCATAGACCAAGCGGGTGGCCCCGCTGTTGTGTCTAGCATCTCTTCGGCGGGTGACCCCGCTAGAGCTTGGAGTGCTGTAAGCATCTGAGATGCTGACATGTTCGAATCCAAGTATGGACGTAGACGGGCAACTCCTGGGTGCGACAGCAGTTCGTTCATCGTCATCTGCTGCTGTGCTGGCGCACTCAAGAGTCGGATTGCTTCTGAAACCTGCTCTTGGAGCATGTCGTTATAATCTTCTTCGGATTCTTCGGAGTCGGAATACGCGGGATGGCCCCGCATTTCGTCATCGGCGTCTCCCATCTCCGAGCCAGCCCACGACGGATTTGGCAGCAACGGCATGCCAATCACTTGTGGGGCCAGCGCGGCGGTGAGTTCTTCCTCTGTTGCCGGGACAGTCTCGGCTTCGGAGACCTCGTCACCGGCGGGTGGCCCCGCTGGAAGACCGAACCAAGCATTGTACGCAATCTCATCGACCTCGTCCCAGCCGTGGAACTCGTCGAAGAGGGTCACTGCGTAGTCTTCCAGGGCCACAGTTGCTTCAGCATAGCGGGCCATCACGTAATACGTGGAGGAGCCCGCAGCGGGAGCCGCTTCTGGATTGACGTAAAACTCGTAGTCAATGTAATCTATGTCATCCATAAAAGAATTTTGAGCCAAGTGTACGGATCCCTTTCCTTTCCCCTTCGGGCATTGATCGCGCAAATGCTCTGTGCTACCGCATGTATGACACTTCATAGTATTACCAGAAGCGTCCCTAGGGTTGCCCCTCCGCCCCTTTCCCTTACCGGAGGTCCGCCTGTGACCCCGACCTTTGCCTCCGATAAGAACTTCTTCAAAAGCCATATCAGTTAAGGACGTGAGGAAAGCAGTAATACCCCTACCATGCATACGGCGTCTGCGACCCCCTTTACCACGACCCTTTCCAAATTGTTTGAAATGTCGGCGTACTGCACGTCTCACCTTTCTGACTGGTTTCTTCATAAAGCGCCTCCAACGGCGTTTTGATTTGCGATAAGCCATAAAGGCGGCTTCCGCCCTTTGTTGTTCAGAAAGGTGAGTGTCATCCGCTGGATAGTCATTACCAGCAGAGACTATTCCATTGTGCTCATCGTCAGATGAGGTGTCTGTGTCAGTGCCAGATTCAAACGGTGAGGGTGGCTGAGACCATTGAGCGGATGACTCCGCTTGGCCCCAGAGGGTTGTGCCCGAGGGCGGGCTTGCAGTGTAGGCGGCGCCTGGCGAGTAGTTCGACCAGGCGTTCGCCTCAGCTGCCTCTGCCGATGCCTGGCCGGTCTGCCCTAGAAGGGCAGTGGCCTCGTTGGGCATATCGGCTGGGTCAGCCCAGGGATTTGGCTCGCCAGGACCAGCGGGTGACCCCGCAGTCGTGGCGTAGACACCTGCATGTGAGTGGTGCCCTGTGAAGATACCCGCTATGTTGCCAGGAGAGCGCTCGGCAACATGTCCGTAGTTCCTCATCCTGGTCAGCAGCCTGTCATAGTCTGCTTGTGTTCGGGGCATCTGATGATTGAAGGGCTCAAGCAGGTGTTGGGCTCGTGACGCGCCAACGCCTAACGCTCTGAAGAGAATCAGCGTTAGGATCTGAAAGTTGGGGATGACAAAGCCAACAGAGTTAGCCTCGTCACGGGCCATCTCGAATCGAGCTAATACTGAGTCGATTCGCTCGCCCCTTTCGACGCGGAAGTCGATAAGGGCCGTGCCAGAGTTGAGCTGGCGCTCATCTTCCAGATTTTCAAATTTGGTGCTCAGTAAGTACAGTATGTAGGTTACTGCATCCGTTGGCTGTCCATTGACAGTTACACCATAATTGATGATCTGGGAGGGGACCTGCATGGCGATACGACGAGCCAGACCTTGAAGGCCTCGTTGTAGTGCTGCAGCTTGTTGTGGTGGTGTCATATTGCCGCTCGTTACGTTTAACCATGCATGTACTTCGCGAACATATTCGCGAAAAGGCGTAGTACCGGCAGGGTCCCATGAAGGGCCAGTAGTACGCGTGTCGTCCATCCCCTGCCGCATGTATCCCACAGCACATCCCATTATTACCCACAGAATGCCGAAGATAGTTATCTTGATCCAATGCATGTGCATTTCGGCTTCGGTGATTGGTTTGGGCTGTGGTTTGTCAGGCTCTGGCGTGGTAGCCGTGAGGCGCCTGACCGGCACGGGATGCAGGTGGCCCCGCTGCGGGTAGCCCCGCAGGGTGACCACGTTCTCGATCGAGTTGCCGATTGGCATCTGGTGGAAGTCGGGAGTGAAGTAGCGCAGTGAAGTAGGAGAGAGCGTCTCGAGTTCGCGGGTTGCCCCGCTAGCTCGATCGCGGACTGGCTCCGCTCCTCGCAGAGCCGGCGCAACATGGTATTCCACCGTAGTAGTAGTCCACCAAGTTGTGCCGTGGATTACTGGAATCAGAGCGAGAGCCAGCCACACGAGAGTGTAGCCAGCTCCGCTACCAAGTCGAAAACAAGCTGGTAAGCTTAGGTATGTGTTACGCCTTAGGCGTTGCCATATCCCAGGCTTTGGCTCATATCGCATGAGCAAGAGAGCGAGACGAAGCATGGGATCTGGAGTATAGAGTAAGATGGGCATCGTCAATGGAAAGGATGTTTTCCGATCTCAGATGCAAGTAGTGCGCCTCGGTGAGGCACAGTCACATATCAGGCCGGGCCCGGCTTGAGCCAGGCACGGCAGCGGTACATGCTCGATTTATACCTCGCCTTTAACCTTCTCCGTTTAAAGTAACGTCGCCCCTTCGTTTCGGGTCACACCTGGGCTCTCTGGCGGCCGCTCGGGCAGCTCCAGAACGCTCTCGGCGGGGCGCAGCTGCCGAAGGCACCCCCGCTTCTTTGAAAAGCCGCCGAAGACCGGAAGCCGGAAGCCGCGAACCTCGAAACTGTGTCCCCCCTCAGCCCGTCCGTCCCCCCTCAGCGTTTCTCCGGGGACGCGCCGCGCGAACGCCCCGCCCCGCGGCCGGCCGCATGGTGGGCTCCCCGCTGGCAGCGCCCAGCTCCCCGCCGGCGGCGGACGGCGGCTCTCCCGCCTTCGGGGTTGGCGCGTGGGGGGGCGAGCAGTGCTAAATCTCAGGCACCAGTGCTGACACCGAAGGACGTGGCCGAAAGTCAACGCTGCTCTAATCTCGCTCTCGGGGTGGCCGCGACTGTCCCGACTCCGGATCCGCCGCGCATTGGCTGATCTTCCGACTTACGACTGTGTCGGAAATGCATCCCGAACGATGCGAAAAGCAGTACGGCGGAATGTTCCGCCTCGGATGCATAGGGCGCTTCTTTCCGCTAAAATACGGCGGGAACAGCGACGGCACAGGAGGGTGGAAATCTGCATCACATGCGCCTGAAAAGCGGGGCGGGAATTTCCGCCTCCCGAAATCGCTCAGAAAGTACAGTCGGGGCGTTGACCTAAGGAACCCTAAATAAGGAACGAGGCCCCTTTTTCCAATCAGTTAAAGTTCGATGTCCCATCGAAAACCTGAGGAAAACCTAAGGCAAGCTGTGAAACAATCAAGGAACACGGAGCCCCTCCCCAACGAAAAGGGTTCCTTCTTCAGCACCCCGACTGTAGGTCGGATCTGGAGTCAGGGTGGGGGTCGGAGGCGGCCATGGGGGTCTGAACTGGATGGGCCCCGAGACAATCTGTCAAGGGGGGATACGGGCAAATCGGTCCCCGGACCCCTCCCAGGGTCCATCTGGCGTAATTTGTCACCCAGGATCCCTTTCTCACGGTCCCGGGGCACGAAAACGGCCCCCGCTTGCAAACGGCTTCCTCGAACCGAGAACTCCTCCCACCCTTTTTGCTGACCTGAATCAATACTGGGCCACCTCAGACCCCAAGCCGGCTCCAAGGTGGGGGGCGAGGGAACGCACTGAAATAATAATAAGAGTAATAATAATGATAATAATGTGAATAATATGATAATGGTAATACTAATGATCATATGATACGAATACTACCAATAATAATATGAAATTAAGAACCATAATACTAAGAATGATACGACACATAAAAATACACAAGAAGAATGATAGTAATACTAATCTGAAACGAAGAAGGGCCGTGAAGTCGCGGGATATGTCATGGCTCTTGCCATTGATATCCACCCCCATAGGCATAATCCCCTGTTGGGGACGCCCGGGAAGGGTGCGGAGAAAATGGGCACGATGCCCAACAGCAAGAGTTGCCCAAATCGACAGGGAGCGCTGTTGGGCAGACGACTCTTTGTCTGCGGTGAAAAGTCGGCGGCGACACCGACAGCGACTCCTATTCAAAATGGGCAGGATCTGCTGTCGATTTTCGTAGGCAGTCTTCCCGTTGGTACCGCATTCAGTCGGCGGCGACCGAGGGGGGAAGTGAGAAGGAGAAGGCCTTCTGAGAAGGCGGCGGGGCTTCTCAAAGCCCGCTGGCCCTCTGAGAAACTGTCCGTGCCTTCGGGGGAGGCTCGGACAGCTTCTCGGAAGGCGGGGGGCTTCCGAACCTTCTGAGAAGGCCCTCTCCCTCTCACTTCCCCCTCCCCTCCCTCGCCGCCGAGTCGGGGCGGGGTGGGGGCTCTGAAGAGCGCGCCAGCTCGCCCAATGACTGAGCGATGCACGCGCACAGCCCAGCCCCAGTGCTCCTCGGTGGCGACGATGGACTCCGCTACTTCGGGAGGACGCGGTCTGGCCCCACGCATCTCACCACCGCTCGTTGGGCCATCTGCAGGATCGCGGGCACTTCGCACCCAGGAGGAAAGGAGGGAACACTGCGAACAGCATAATTTGGCGGCGCGCACAAGGGGGTGGAGGGAGGGGGAAGGGCTTCTTAGGAGGCTGCTTCTTAGAAGGCGCCGGCCGTACATCTACAGATGAGGCCCGCGCCTTCTAAGAAGCAGGGGAGCTTCTAAGAAGCCCTCCCCCCTCCCCCCACCCCCCCTCTGCGCGTGGCCCGGCGGCGGGGCCGAAACCAGCTGCATGCAGCAGGTTTCGTAACCCCCCCTTTCCCAATCCCCCCCCTTTCGTTCGGCCCGATTCGCACCCAGGAGGAAGAGGAGGGAACACTGCGAGCAGCACAATCGGGGGAGGCTCCTCAGAGCACGCCGGCCGCTGCTCGGAGGCCGCTGACCTCTCGGGGGGCCCCGCGGGCGGCGCGCGCCCTCGGGGGCCCCCCCCTCGGAGGCCCCCTGGGAAGCCCCCCTCGGAGGCCCCCATCGGAAGCGGCTCGGGGGCGCCCTCGGGGGCTCTCAAAGGCCCTCCAACTCGAGGGGGCGCTCGGACGGGCCCGTTGCATGCCTCACCGCGTCGCGACGCGTCGTGGCAGGCTTTCGGCAAGTTTCGGCCTGGGCATGGGGCAAGTTCCTCAAGAGACAACCCTGGAGGAAAAGCCTGCCCCGAGGAAGGGGTCGAGACCCCAGAGGGTGCGCAATTTTCCCGACGTCCCCCTCCTCGGGAAAATTGTTCGGGTGGTCCAGCCCCCCCCCTGGGCGACGACGACGACCACCACGACGACATCGACGACGACGGCGGCGAAAACGTCAGCAGCGGCGGCGGCGGCGCACGTCGCCAGCGCCCGCGCCAGGCGCCAGCTCTGATGGAACGCTACTCGGGCTCGCTCTAGCTCTTTGAGAATGCTACCAGGGCCCTACTGTACGCTACCCGACTCTACTCGGCCCAACTCTTCTCCTCTCTACTCTACCCTACCGTACCCTAACATACTACACTTTACTCTACTTTGCTCCTGTTCTACTCTACTCTACTCCAACTCTATTCTACTTTACTTAGCTCTGCTCTACTCTATGTCTACTTGACTCTACGCATCTACTCTTATCTACTCGACTCTGATATAATTTGATCTTCATTACCCTACAATACACTACCGTATCCCGACTCTACTCTACTCCTATCATACTCTACTCTAGCTCTGCTCGTCGTCGTCGTCGTCGTCGTCGTCACCGGCGACGTCGTCGTCGTCGTCGTCGTCGTCGTCGTCGTCGTCGCCGTCGTCGTCGCCGCCGTCGTCGTTGCCGGGGAGGCGGGCTTCTGGACCCCTCGAATCATTTTCCTGTTGGGAAGGGGGGCTTCTGGATCCCCCCGATTAATTTCCCCGAGAGGAGGGGTCCGGACCTCCCCGCTCAGTTCTTTGGGGAGCGGGGTTTGAACCCTGCGGCAGAAAGCGTTCTTTCAGATCTCAGGGGGTCCACGACGTCAGAGGTCTGGGTTAGAAGCGCTCGGCAGCCTTCGGCGGCACTCGGAAGCCCTTCTGAGATCCTCGGGGGGGCTCGGAGGACTTTGGAAGCCCTCGGGGGCTGTCGGGGGCGAAAGAGGTCTGACCTCCAAGAGGTTCGACCGAAGACTCCCGGAGGGTCTGACCTACAGGGAGGTCTGACCTCCAGGAAATCTGCCCTCCAGGACGGCATCCACGAGGGTCCTCGTGGCCACGGCAGGGCGAAGTCTCGGAAGAGCAAGGCAGGAACGGTCCAAGGATCCGAGAGCATCGGATACCTCCATCCTGGAGGTCGCCGGCCTCCCTTCCGGAGGCACAAGCTGCCAGGGCGAGGGCGAAAAGTGCCCTCCGAGGGGGCGGGGGCGGCCCCGAGGCGGCGACGGCGGCGGCGCTGCGCAAGACCGCCGCAGGCCGCCGGAGGCCGCCGAAGGGCCGCCGGGACGGCCGCCGACGGCCGCCGAAGGGCCGCCGACGGCCGCCGAGGGCCGGCGAAGACCGACGAGCGTCGCCACGAGGCTGCCTCAGACGCCGCGGCTTCGGCGGCCGGCGGCGGGGCGCCCGCGGGCGGCCCGGGGGAGCCCGCGCGGGGCCTCTCGGAGGCGCCGCTGGTCTCCGCCAGGAGGGCCTGCCGCACGGCGGACGGCGCCGCGACCGCGGCGGCGGCGACCGCAGCGGCGGCGGCGGCGACAACGGCCGCGGCGACCGCAGCGGCGGCGGCGGCGACAGCGGCGGCGACCGCAGCGGCGGCGGGGGCGGCAGCGCCGACGGGCGTGGCCGCGGCGACAGCGGCGGCGGCGACCGCAGCAGCGGCGGCGGCGACAGCGGCAGCGGCGGCGACGGCCGCGGCGACAGCGGCAGCGGCCCACGCGCTCCGGGACAGGTCCGGGGTCCGACTGCGACGACTACGACTGTCGCTGATCCTCCTCCACCGCAAGGGACTTCGTGGGGCCTCCCTGGGGGGGCCTTCGTCGACACGGTCAGATCCGCCTCGAGATCCTGGTCATAACGCGCTCCAGGACAGGTCCAGGGGTCGACGAGTAAGATAACCAACGACGACGACGACGACGACGACGACGACGACGACGACGACGACGACGGAGACGGAGACTGCTGCCTGGGAGGGCCGCTTTCTGGTCTCTTTGGGGGCCATCGTCAGCACGGTTGGATCTTGCCACCGCTTGGACGTCCGCGCCCCGTGCACCTTTCGATTCCGTGCGTGTGTCACAGGACGATCCGATATGATCCTAGACGGTCCAGATTTACCGGCGCTGGCATCGCCGAGAAAACTGCACTCGAAAGCTGGGCGAGGACTGCTAAAACCGTGGCTGCTAAAACGGCCCTCCCGGAAGGAAAAAACAACTTCCCAGAATGAGGCGCGGCACGCGAAACAGTCAACGGGCTTCTTCCCGGAAGGACGAAGACAACTTACCGCAGGTCGATTTTAGCAGCCACGTGTTTAGCAGCCCTTGCCCGGCTTCCGATGCACACGTCCGAGCAATGCTAAAGTAACTACCCGCGGGACAGGCCACAGGTTCGAGGGTAGACGACGAGTGCCGCATCCCTGCCCCCGCCTCGAGAAGGGAAGCCGTTTTCTGGCCTCCTGGGTGTGCCCCTCGTCACCACAGCTGGGTCTGGATCCGCCCTGAGCCTCTGGTGCAAACGCGCTCTGGGACAGGTCACATGAGCGACGATCAAAAACGGGATATCACATAGCGACCTTACGCGGCGGCTTACGCGAGCCGCCAGCGCGGCACGCTGCATTGAAGACGAGGACACTTACGCGCGACCTTACGCGGGCAGCTTACGAGCCAATGTCGGCGCAGACGGCCCCCTTTTTGGTCGTCGCCCACATGTCCAGGAATACAGCAGGTTCACGTCGCGACGACCTGCACATTGGTCTCTGACACCATGTGGAAGGCTCAGCCTTGGACGACCGCTGCTTTCCGACAACGCAGATCGCTCGACATCGACCGATTCTGGCCAACTAGCGGCGCTCCACTTTGAACGCCTGCGCTGGGGCCGCTGCTGCGTGAACGCGGAGCGAAGCAGCCGCAAACGACGACGACGACGACGACGACGACGACGACGACGACGACGACGACGACGACGACGACGACGACAGGAAACCGGAGAACGTCACGAGCAACAGTGCTCGGAGGCCCGCGCGGACCTCCGACGGCTTGCGCTCGCGCCGTCTTTTACGGGTGGGGTTGGCAGCGAGTCAGCTCACACACGAACGTTGGTGACTTTTCTGGTGCCTCCAGGGGGAAAACAAACCTACCTCGCTTTTGACCACCCTCGCTTCCAAGAGATACCAAACGATGCCAACTTGCAGCCTGTCCTGGTCAGGCCGCTTGACGAGGAGGCGCGCGGTAGGACTTGGTTTTGCCTGGAAGCGAAAGCGGGGTAGGTAATTCACGCTCTGAGCCTCCCGGCAGCGGAGGCAAAAACGTCTCGAGGAACGCGCCTAGCGGCGGGGCCGAAACCAGCAGCATGCAGCAAGTTCCATCCGACCGAGGGGGCCGAACGGTCTGACCGCATCGCTGGGTGCGTGGGTGAAGTGGGACTCCGCGGCCCAGGTTGTCTTTGTTTACTGTCGCTTGCTGTGCTTGGCGTTGTCGCCAAACCCGCGATCCACCTCGCGACCCACCCCGCGACCCACCCCGCGACCCGCTCCCCGGCCCACCCCGCGACCCGCGATCGACCCGCGTCACACCCCGCGCCCGCTCCCTCAACCTTACCAGAACTCGTCCGCAGCTGCGGGGTGCTGCGTACCTTCCCCAATGATCCCCGCCCTTACAACGACGCGAAGATCGGGACAAAATCGGATCGGGATAACTCGAAATCTCTGAGAATCGGCGGGTTTGGAGGATGTATCTGGCGCCGCGGCCGCTCCAGAGCGTTCCGGAACGCTCTGAGAGCGCTTCGGAACGCTCTGGAGCGATTTATCCCGATCCTAGCCCTGTTTTAGCCCTCCCGTCCGACCCGACCCGATGCTCCTCGACGACCCAGGCGCCGAGCGGCCGGCCTCCAGCGGGTCGCACAGCTCCGGGGGCCCCTGCCGGCGGCGCCGGCACGCCGCCGCCGCTCGCCGCCGCCGCCGCCGCCCGTCGACGCCTCCGCTCGCCGACGCCTCTGCCGCCGCCAGCCGGCGCGGCCGCGGTGGCTGGTCGACGCATTGGGCGTGACTTAACGGGGGGGTCATAAACGGGGGGGTCAGACACGGTCCCCTTTCGTGCCCCTTTCGGGCCCCTCCAGAGCCCCAGGGGGCTCGTGTGGGTACCGTTCGGGTACCTCTTCGGACCACCCTCGCCACCCCCCCATTTACGATCCCCCCATTACGCGACGCCCAAACGCAGGTGCCACGAAGCGCTCCGGCTTCCCAATCGTGCCCGACTTCGGCGGCACGGCCCGCGCGTGTTGCGGGAGTGCGCTGCCCGCTGCCATTGGGGACTGCCTTCCGAGGGTCACGACGCCCCGAAGGAATGCGACGTTGCGCGCCTGCACCGTTATGAGCAGGGCCAGCCGCCGCCGCCTGTCGTCACCGCCGCCGCCGCCGCTTGTCGTCGCCGCTGCTGCCTCGGCCGTCGCCATAACCGTCGCCGACGATTATGTTGCTCCCTCCGTACTTGAGGACCACATCCCGGAAATAATTTCGAGCACCCGGAAAAGTGTCGAAAGAGTGTCGAAACAGTGCCGGGCGAGCGTCTCCCAGGGCCCGACACGTGAACCCCCCCGAGTTTCGGTACTTTTTGGGGGCTCGAAATTCTTCCTGGCGATCAAGGCTAAAGCCGCTTGGAACATCACAAGCCGACGAGATGGCCCGCCTCCGGCAGGCCGGCCAGCTCCTGGGACCCCTGCCGGCGCAGCCGCGGTGACGGCGGCGCGCCGAAGGCCTCGGCTGGCCCCGCGGGGCCCTCGGCGCTCGCGCCGGCGCTGGCCTCTGGGCACTGTGGACCGCCGCCGCCGCCGCAGCCGTCGTCGCCATCATCGCGGGCGAGGGTCGTCGGGGGTCGTCGATGGTCGTCGGGGGTCGGCGTCTGAGGTTTGGGAAGTCCCTGGGCCTTCCTCCAGTCCCTCCTCCTCCTGCTGCTCCTGCCATGCACCGCCTGGACGCGAAATCTAGCCGATACACATGACATTCTTACAGAATTGCGGCAGCTCACTGCTGCACCGCCGCGGCCGCCACACGGCCCCAAGCTAGCCAGGCCTGAGCGGCAATCGGGAGCAGCCGAGGGCGAGGAGATCGATGTCTGTAGTCGCCCACTGGGTGATGAATTCCAGCGCGGCCCGCCACCGTGGAAGCAGTCTGGAGGCCGCCCAAGAGTCAGGGATGCAGCCCCCAGCATGCGCGGCCAAATGCTCCAGGGACCAGAGAGCATCAACGCCAAGGCGACCATAGGATCCCACTGCCACAGGGAGGACCGCGCTCCTGCTCCTGCTGTCGCTCGTCCTCCACCTGCTCCTCCTCCTCCTCCTCCTCCTCCTCCTCCTCCTTCTCCTCCAATGTGATAGCAGAAGTCCCTCCCCTTTGCCGATTGCGCAGCAGACGATGAATCAAATCCTGCCAACTGCCATTTTACGATTTGAGAGTCAAGGTCTTCGCGGCTCTCGCAGTCGGCGCATACAAAAATATCCAGTGCAATGCGAAGGGAAGGGTTGGGCGGGACAGTTCGGGAGGGGTAGGATGCCGGACGTGGCACGAGCGCGCCTAGATCGCCAATCTCCCCTCCTACCCCCCTACTCATCATCCCTTCTCGTTCTCCGCCGCCTCCATTCCTTTTCCTGATAGATAACTTCTCCCTGTCGCACCCCAGAGCCAGTTTTTAGGGCGGGCCGGGCGCTTCGTCTGAGACTTCCTCACTAATCATGACTCTGAAGCTTAAAAAGTCGCAACAGCTTCACAAATGGAGGGCGGGTGGCTTTCAAAATGTGGCTCTCGCCTTAGCGCGGCGCACATTCGTTTTAACACGCAACAATTTCACGGATCGAGGGCGGTTCCTTTTCAAAATGTGGCTCTCGCCTTAGCGCGACGCATGTTCGTTTTAAACATTTGCAAGGTTCTCACGGATTCCCATCATCAACGTACCAGGCGGGATTCAGGATCAGCGGGCGCAACAGTTAACGTTGATCCTCTGTGTTGAAGTTCCAGGAATGGCGTGATCGCACAATGGGGGATCGTCAAGACGCAATAGTCAGGTTGATCCGTGGCGTTGGAATCCCGAGAACAATGTTTTGGCATGCTTCAGGGTCTTCAAACGGGTGTCTTCCAACGAGGCAGTTCCATCAATGAAAATGAACCGTTGTAGGGGCCTATGAAGAAGGAGCTTGGAGGGAGGGTTTACTCCAACATCGTTAATGACGCTTGGGTTTACACTGGTCCTCCTTTTCCTCTTCCTCCTCCTCCTCCTCCTCCTTGGAACACCTTTGAACCGCCGAACCATCCAGAGCCATCGAAACCGTGCCGAAACATGAATACATATCACACAACCATATCATTACAGGATTCCTCTGATTACCCCTCCCCTTTCTCCTGTCCTCCTTCTCCTCCTCCTCCTCCTCCTCCTCCTCCTCCTCATTGAAGCACATTTTGAACCGCCGAACCATCCAGAGCCATCGAAACCGTGCCGAAACCTGAGTACATATCACACAACCATATTACATTATTCCTCTGGTTACTCATCCCCGTCTTTTCCTCCTCCTCCTCGTCGAACAAACAGGAGGGACGGCGACAACGACGACGACGACGAACCTCGACGGCCTCTGGGCCTCAGAAGCATTTGAAAATCATCCGGATGCACCTGGACGCATCTGGAATCGCAGGACGGGCCAGAAGGCTTCTAGAAGCCTCGATCTTCGAGCGTCGATTTCAGAGCGACGATCATTCCTCTCTCTCTCTCTCTCTCTCTCTCTCTATCTATATATATATATATAATTATATATGCAAGACTGCAGTGGCGCTTCGCGCCATGCGCCTTGGTCCTTGAAGTTTGGTCTGGGGGCCTCACAACAGTTGTTCAAGCTTTCTTAAGGCCTTCTGGAGGCCTCCTGGGCGTGTTCTGGGGGCCTCTGGGGCTCTGGGGGCTTCCTCGGGCCGCCCTGCCTCCAACCGCGGCCCCCCTGAACGACCGGGTCACGATTTGGAATGATTCGGGGAAAGTCTTGGGCAATCTTGGACCGCCATGGGGCTCTCTTAAAGCCATCTTGGGCCCCTGCTGTGCCTTTTGGGGCACTCTCGGACTTCCTGGAGGCCCTTTCGGATGATTGTGGGGCGATTTTGGAGCCTCCCAGGCGGCTTCGGACGCCCAGAAGACCGCCGTCCTGGAACGTCGGGGGGCCGAAAAGGGGAGAACCCCCAAATTCACCAAAAACAACAGAGAATCAATGATTTGTGCCTCTTGGGGCCTTCGTGGCAATGCTCTTGGAGGCCTCTTGGAACGTTTTGGAGCGATCTTTGAGGATATGACGGCTTCTTGCGGGTCTTCGTGGACCGCATTGGTGCTTTCTGGGGTCGTTTTGGCAGCGCGCTGGAACGCCTGGAACCCGTCTGGGGCCATCTTCGAGCTCTCGTGAGATTCTCCCGGGTCGTCTGATGGGTTGCCCGGAAGCCCGGGGAGGGCCAAATACGTGAGGGGGGAGGTTTTTTTTCCGCTTCCTTGGCCCTTTTTTGTTGTGCAAGGGTTGAGCAGGGCGTCTCAAGAAGAAGTGGAGGCGACAAAGATTGCACCACCGCCAAGCCTAGACCGTCAAGTCGTCGGTCGGCCCACGGGGGTGCCGTCCTTGCGCACGCAGCCGCCTGTGGCGAGCGCGTGCGAGTGGCCGAGTCGCTTGGCCGCCGTGCGGGCCTCGCGATCTAGGGCGTCAAGGATGGCGACTTCCTCTGGAAGCATCTTCGTGTACTTCCTAGGGTGGTTAACGACTCTCTGCCAGCACGCGCTCCGCCTGCTGTCGCACAGGTGGCTCAGGAGGGCAAGGCGCGTGCCGAAGGTGGTTTCGCAAGCGGGGCACACCCCGCTCGCGGTGGACACCCCGATCGCGGTGGCGTAGAAGCGCTGTGGGCAGCGCTCCCCGTGCTGAATTCTCCTGTGCTGCGTGTACTGCTTTGATGTTTCGAAGGCAACCCCGCACTCAGCACAAGCAAAAGGCCGACAACCAGCCTCGTCGCCTGAGCCGGCGCGCACGTCGCACAAAGAGTCGACGAATGGCAACAGCGCCACCGACTGCTTCCAGCGAAGTGCATCTTGCATGACAAAACTTGTCCAGACTTCGGGGTCGTCGTCTGGCTCCAGCAAGCCGGAGCACCTAGCCACAAGCTGGCGCATTCGGTGAAGGTCACTGACAAGTAAATCCAACCAGCGCGATCGTAGACCACGAGGGCGTTGCCTCAAGAGGGCCACGAGTGCGGGGGGCCTCGATCGAAGCAGGCGGCCGAAGTACGTAAGCCTGGCCCGGGCTAGGAGACAATGAATCGAAAGAGTACGGGTCCGAGAGCTACAAATCCGCCTATCCGCCGTGTGAACTACAAGGAGCCTCAGCAAGAGCTTCCGCTCTGAACCTAAGCAAGAGCTTCAGCTCTGCTTGGGGGGGGTCGCCGGGGTGGCTCTGCTGGGGAAGGGGGAAGGGGGGGGGCGGTCCCCCATCTGGCGTTTTCTCACTGATTTTCGCGGGGGGTCGTTGGGGTGGCTCTGCCAGGGAAGGAGGGGAGGGGGGGGGCCCAGTCCCCCATCTGGCGTGTTCTTAATGTTTTTCGCATCCCCAAATTTTTTCGGGGGGGTCCCAAGGACCCCCTGCAGATCTAGCCGCTATCGCCCCCAGGACCCTCCCCTCGGAACCCTCCCCCAACCACCCCCGGGACCGCTCAGCGGGAGGCAGAGAATAACGAGAACTACGGAGACGAAACGGGACCGGAAGAATCGAAGACAAAGGAGGCCACAGAGCCGCGAAGATTACCGAATCCGGAGCCCCCCGGATCGGCGGCACTGGCCGGAGGCCAGTACAAAATATGAATAGGCTTGTGTGTAAAAGTATACATGTGTGTATGTCTGTCTGTCTGTCTGTCTGTCTGTCTGTCTGTCTGTCTGTCTGTCTGTCTGTCTGTCTGTCTGTCTGTCTGTCTGTCTGTCTGTCTGTCTGTCTGTCCCTGTCTGTCTGTTTATCTGTCTGTCTGTCTGTCGGTCTGTCTGTCTGTCTGTCTGTCTGTCTGTCTGTCTCTGTCTGTCTGTATGTATGTATGTATGTATGTTTGTATGTTTGTATGTGGGTAGAGGGCGGATACAGCCACCAGGACGCGCGAGAGAAACAAAGTCACCCTCGATCCCCGATCCTGGAAGACAGAATTCGATGCCCGGTCCTCGCACCCTCGAGGCCGACATCCCGGAAAGCCCTCGATCCCATACTCTGGAAAAGCACCGACGCACCATCTTCGAAGCCTCGATCCCCGATCCTCTAGGTCACCGGACCTCTCGCATCGCGCCATCGCGCCCAGGGAGAAGCCGACCTTCGAAGTCCGACCCCCGATCATCTGGGTCAGCCGTGCACCGCGCCGCCGCGCCCCGCGAGAAGCGCGATCCTCTCCGCGCCCCACCACCCTCGCGCCGCCCCTTGGAAACGGACAGCCGCTCTAGCCCAGACTGCGGCGCGAGAGGCGCGAGCATCGCCGCGCCTCCGCGGGGGCCCGTGCGAGAGGCAACGTCAGTGGGGGACCAGCTCACGGGGGGAAGCATCGAACGGCAATCGGCAATACATCGCCGATAAGTCGGCGATGGGCTCCCGAGAGCGAGTTCGCAAGATTCTGGGCGGGGTGAAGCTATCCGGCCCACATCGGCGGTCGAGCGATGCCACCCGCTCTGACCCTATCGGCCCCCTAACAGAACATATCAAAACACACCATACGCCAATAGGCGCGTGGGCAAAAGCATGCGTCTAGCAA